CAGTGTCGTCATTAGGATGGAGAGTAGTGCTGTGGTTTACTACTATTTTATTGTTATTGTTTAAAAATACACTTAAAATAGAATTTAAATAAATAAAGGAAAATACATTTTAAAAAGCGAGCAGAAGCACCTCCAAGATTATTCTCTTTTTATGGAATTATTAATCGAATAATAATCGAATCGATATTATGATGTTATGATAATTAAAAAAGCGAATTACTAGCTGATTTACTATGAATTCTTTAGAGTATAACAAAATGCTGCTGCACAATTTAACAGTAATTGTTATCTGTTTTAACAATACATTTAAAATGGAATCATGTTATGGTAATTAAAGAAGTGAATTTTTAGCTGATTCACCATGAACTGTTTAGAGCATGATAATACGCTAATCCACATTTTAACTGTTCTTAAAAATACATTGAAAAAAGAATTTAAATAAATAAAAGAAAATATATTTTTAAAAAGCGTGTAGAACTTAAAGCGCCTCATATATTACTTTTTTTATTAAATTACTAATCGAATAAAAATCGATATCGTTTCATTGTATTTATGCACAGATTAAACTGTGTATTTATGTTATTTATGTGGCAACATCAAATCTGACAGCTAGGAAATATGTCATGCGAATTGGGAATGAAAATGAAATCACAATTCAACAAGTAAAAAGATACTAGAGAATTCACAACTAAATAGTCGCAATTGTGTTATTTTGTTTGTTATTTTTCAAATAAATTCTCAAGAACTCATATGAAGTGAGATTGTCGATCACATTATAGTGTGACAACAGTTAAAAAGTAAGTGTTTAACAGTTTTAATTTAATAATTCTAGTGCTGATATTTGATAGTGATGAATGAATGAAATGATGAAGTTGTTTTATTTTTTAACATATGCTATATCTTCTTAATAACGACTACAAATAAAAACTGCGGTTACCCACCCGCTTACCGACGACGAGAAAAATATCCTTCCAATGAGGCAATCTTTGGGAGAGGCCCTTTGTTTTGCAGTACCTTATCATACTATTTCGCTAGATTCCATATTTATGTTTAATGTTATTTAGCGAATAAATTCTAAATATGCGCCATTCCCTTTAACAGCAAGAACAATAAACAACAAGCATGAAAACGACATTCTTCCCCCATCATCGCATCAAATGTGCTCCGGAAGTTTTGTAACAGGAAGTTAGCTTATCTCGTCGGTATGTATCCCTGCCCGTACGTTATGTAAATACGTTGTAAATGTTAAGTAAAGAGAGATATGTTTGTTGTGTAGAAAATATTTCAGCCAGAACCAACACGTCTTTGTACTGATTTGTGTATAATGTATATATATTTTCATCATCATAATCATTACAGCCCTTCACAAGTCCACTGCTGAATATAGGCCATCCCCAAGTAATGCCACAAAGCACGGTCCTGAACCACCTGCATCCATCGACTTCCTGCATGTCTTACCAGGTTGTCACTCCATCTAGTAGGGGGGCGCCCTTCACTACGCTTACCGGTACTAGGCTGCCACTCGAGAAGCTTTCTTCCCCATCGGTTATCGGTTCTTCGAGCTACATGGCTGGCCCATTGCCACTTCAGCTTACTAATCCGTATATATATTTTTATTGAATAAAATTCACAAACGAGCACACAATCCACCTAATGGTAAGTAGATTCTATAGCCTGTAGGTGTCTACATTTATCCGCATTTAAGAATCAAAATGCAGATGCGCTATCACACCTGAGGACTAAGATGGAATGTATCATTTCCAGTATAAAGAGTATCCGCTTCTATACATCCACCATACGAATCACAGCAGCATCAAGCTACTACTTTACGCTGATATTCTGTGAAAGCGTGGTGCTCCCCCGGTCGAGCCGATCCATTCGTGCTGAAATATAAAATAGCTGCAGCGTGGCTCTAACCACGTAAAAACAAAAATAAAAGGTAGAAAAAATTGACTGTCACAGAGTAGTAGTTTTATTAAATTTTAAAATCACAGTTTTTAAATAATCAGTAGTGTTTAGATTTACAGTGCTTACACGATTTAGAGTCTTATTCCATAAAGTTCACACATAAGTATTTTTTTCTTTGTTCGAAATTCTTTGCACGTGTCCATGAGGTGCAGAACCTAAGGCGTAATTACGCGTTTTTCACATCGATTTTATAAAAATAAAAGTACTTAAGACATGCAGGAATTCAATGGATGCAGGTGGCTCAGGACCTTGCTTTTTGTCATTCTTCGGGGGAGGCCTATGTTCAGTAGTGGAATTGAGAAGGGCTGTAATCATGATGATAAAGAGTCACTTTGGAATCAAACTATTTAATTGATGTGACCGTGCTCGTATATTCATACGAAACTGGATAAATGGAAAAAAGTGTCAAATTATTCAATAAATTTCTTTAGACGCTCAAAGTAAACCCTTGTTAATATCAAACTCCAAATTGGGATCAAACTAATATACCCAAGCTTTGAAGCGGTTATAACAGGCTTTTACGAAAACGTAATCCTTACCCAGTTCTTTTATTCATCCTATTTACTTATATTCATGAAAGTCCGCTGAATAATATTTCAATGTATTTAATAAGACTTGATAGACATTCATTTTAACGGGATAGAGTCACGCTTCAGCATTTTAGGGCGGCAGCAAAAATGGGTTGGCTTGACCGGGAAAAGGTCATGCTATCACAAAATAGCAACTTTATGCTGCTGTGTTTCTTATGGTGAGGGAAGAGAAGCGAAGAATATTTTTGCTGGTAACAAGGAATTCTTACTTAGGCCTTGAAGGTCTATACTATACCTCAGCTCAAATTCTAATTTCGCCCCCACTTCCCCGCGCGTCGTATGATATCTACCGACATGTTTGTTATCACTAATACTGTAAGTAGATAAGTCGCTAGATACTTATTTCAATAGGTCTATCATATTTTTTCCAGTTTCTTTACGCCAATCCAGTCGCTTCTTATTTTTATAACGGTTATTTCCAATTTTAATTTTACGTCGTCCTGTTACGTAATGTGTATTGTGATTGTTTTTGGTGTTATTTTAGTTTTAAAATATCATCTTGTTTAAAATTGTGAAATAAATATGTAGACAATACTGAAAATCTTTCTCTTTGCCTAAATTCTACATTCTTCTATCGAGAGTATTTTTGCCGATTTCTAAGTAACAAACATTGTTTTTATTGTTATTTAGAAATCGACTCGACAATCTATCCTCTACCAAATGGTAGAGGTTTGGATTTGCAGTTTGCACTCGAGAGTGCCCCGATTCAATTCCAGGAATGAGAAGTCAAATTTTCTTTTTTCTTTTTTATTTATTTAATATTAGTTAGTAGTTTAGTATATTAAGATAAATTAATTAAACACTTTTATAAATAAATAAATAAAGTTTGAAATGTAATATTTTTTGCCGGAGAAAGAAAGTTGAAACTATCAACACGAATGTTATTTCCAATTCGTAAGTACCTACCAACAACTTTTTAAGCTTTAATGACAATTTAAAAAAAAAACTAAAAATATCTAATGTTTTTGTTAAAAGACCGCGGCTTAAAGATAAACATGACGAAAAGTTTTAGTTTTATTGATTTTGTTTATTACAAATAGTAATTATAATGATGTATGAATGTTAGTTATTTTACTTGTAGCTTAACAACTTTTCAAAGTGAAAAACAAAAAAAAAAAACGAAATGCAAAATTACTTTATACCTTGTGAACCAAAGAACTAGAATAGAACTAGAATAGAACCAAAAAACATTTAGATTTTTCATCGGAGCATGTACGGGAAACAGCTTATAGTACACAGGTCCATAAAGATTCATAAAATAACGTGAATTGAATCGCACATAGAGGGGCGCGGGCAGGCAAAGTAGTTTTGTGGTATTCCATAAATCACATATATATATATATATATATATATATATATATATATATATATATATGTGTGTGTGTGTGTGTGTGTGTTTCCGGAAATGTATGAAATCTAGGAATTGTATACAAATCCTAGGAAATTTATATAATTCCGATGTTTCAAAAACTATTTAATACATAAATGTCCTAGGAAATATGCACAATTCCTAGGAATTGTATATAATTCCAATATCGTATTAGGAAATGTAAAAAATAATGATTTCTGTAATAAAACACGTTGTTAAAATGAGAATAATAATTTTTATTAAAGCACTCGTTGAGACAACAGCGTTCAGGTAACAGTCATTTCGTAAAATATAATAATCTTCATATTATCTTACTAATTAAAGCTTCGAAAATCAAGTATCTAGGAACTTTTAAAATGTATTTATCACAAAATCGACTTATATTATTCTCATAAAGTCAAACTTTCGTTGGGTAAGTAATTAGTCTGTTATTTAAGTAATTATAAATGTCACAATATTAAAGTAAGACTTTATATTATATAAAGAGTCAGTCCATATGGCTATTTATTTTTGCAGGGTAAGCCGGAATGGCACTTGGAAGTACACAATAATTTATTTTTATAGCACAGACATCTTGCTGTAGTACAGTTTTTCTTGCAATGGCACTTTTTAAATCCCTGGCCGGTTCCAGTGGATTATAGGTTAGCAACTGACCGTAGTGCTATCTCCGTACTCGCTACATCCTCTGCATCAAGAAGAGCTCTTGGACACACATTAATCTGAGATCGAGAATATAATTGTTTTAAGATTCCGTTCTTGGTACCAATTTGATAAAGCTCATCATCGGTTTTAGCCAAAACTACACCTATAATATTTCGGGCATTACCACGTCCTCTGTCAACCTCTGGAACTGCAATTCGTACAGAAGTGCCAATAGGTACAGGAGCAAACTTCTTTTCACTCGATTTCAGCATTTTTTCTGCCTGATGTTGTAAGTTTTTCTTAGCACTTTGACGATTATCTTGTACTTTATATTTTTTTGAACATAAACATAAACACTCACGCCTGTCACCCAGAGGGGTAGGCAGAGACTACAGACTTCCATTTGGCACGATCCTGACACACCTCTCTCGCCTCCTTCACATCCATACACCTACGCATGCATGCTCGTCGGTTAAGGGTACTCCTAATTTGGCCCGTTTTCAATAAATCGCCAATTTGGTCGATAAATTTTCGCCTAGGACGTCCCTTTCCGACTCTGCCATTCACTTCTGCAACATAAATTTTCTTTGTCACTCTTTCCTCATCCATTCTTTCCACATGACCAAACCACCGAAGCATTCCTTTCTTAATCCTGGTCACAACATCATCTTGCAAACCACACTCTTCTCTTATCACACAATTTTTCACCCTGTCATTCAGATTCAGCCCTAACATACTCCTTAACGACCGCATTTCTACTGCATTTATTCTACTCTCGTGCTTCTTCTGCCATACCCAACTTTCACTACCATACGTTAAAGTAGGGACCAACACAGCATTGTGAATTGCCATACGTGCCTTTTTTGACACATTTTGACTCTTCACAATAGAGTGCAGGGCTCCATTTACTCTGTTTCCTGCGTTCACTCGTCGTTCTATATCCTTATCATATCTCCCATCCCTGCTAAATACGCAACCCAAATATACAAACTCATCTACTTGCTCGATCAACTCCCCTTCTATTCTTATTTCACATATCGTTTTACTTTCATCTCTTTCAAAAACCATAATTTTTGTCTTACTTGCGTTCACTTTCATACCCCTTTCTTTTAATGATCTGTTCATTAATGTAACTATCATTTGCAACTCAGCCGCCGACGACGCAAGAATAACTTGATCATCGGCGTACAAAAGGCATTTGATGGTTAACTCACCCATTCTTAATCCGCATTCTTCAACTTTCAAATTTTGCAAACAACTGTCCATAAATAGGTTGAACAACCACGGGGAAGCCACACAGCCCTGTCTGACACCTTTATGGATGCCAAACCAGTCCGAGTAGACCCCGTTGATCCTAACACAAGCACTAGAGTCCCTATAAAGAGATTCCAATGCCTGTATCAAGCCAGCGCTCAACCCAAATGAGTTCAGTGTTTGCCATAGCACATTCCTATCCACTCTGTCATAGGCCTTCTCCAAGTCCATGAACGCAGAAAAAACCTTTTGGTTTTTGGCCAAAAACTTCTCTGCGATCATGCGCATGGAGAAGACTTGATCTGTACATCCCATTCCCTTTCTAAATCCCGCTTGTACATCCCAAATTTTTCCATCGGTTTCTTTCATGACCCTTTCAATTAGTACCTTGGCATACAGTTTTCCCACGATGCTAAGAAGGCTGATACCGCGGTAGTTTTTACAGTCCTGCTGCGACCCTTTTCCCTTATATACTGGGACTATCACGGCTTTGCACCAGTCTCCCGGTACCCGCTTCAGTTCCCAGCATAAATTAAACAAGGTGTGCAGCAGGCCTGCCACCACTTCCTCTCCAGCCCTTAGCATTTCGAGTGAAACTCTATCATATCCGGCAGCCTTACCTGCTTTCATGCTTCTCATTGCTTTCATTATTTCATCTATACTTATCTCGCTACCTTCTTCCTCTTCTTTCGGAGTTCCTATTTCATTCAGTTCATACGTTGTCTCCTCACTCATAAACATGCTTTCAAAATATTCCTTCCATCTCTTTAAACTCAAAACTTCATCATTCAGAATATAGCCATTCTCATCTCTTATAGCATTCATTATAGGCTGTTTTGAACATCCCCTGGCAGTTCTTACGAGTTTCCAGAACATTTTAATATTTGCCTGGAAGTTATCCGATATTCTTCTATCATTCTTATCCGTTCTTTCTTGCTTTTTCCTTTCAACTACTTCTTTTACTCTTTTATTTAGATGTCTAAAGACTGCCTTTTTTCTTTCAAAATCATCATTCGTACCGCTTGAATTACCAGCCTTAGTTGCTAGTAAATCTAGCCATGCTCTCTTCTTTGCTTCAACTTCCGTACGTATCTCATCATCCCACCATAACGTATTATTTTTCCTTTCATTCTTTCTTTTACTAACACCACATACTTCGGTAGCTGCATCTACTAAACCTTTCTTAACATTTTGCCATACATTCTCCAAGTCTAACTCATTCATACATAATTCATCCAAACCACTTACGTTTTCTTTCAGTCTACATTTAAACTTGTTTTTCTCACCTTCATCTTGTAATCTTTCTGTTCTAATACGCTGTAACGCAGTGGTAGACACAGATGACCGATGGCGCCACCGCCTGAATAGACCATTAATTCGGCATAAAACCAAAAAATGATCCGTTCCTACGTTTGACCCCCGGTAAACCCTTGTATCCACCACTGCGCCCCTCAATCTTTCATCCACAATTATGAAATCTATCATGCTTCTATCATCACCTCTTTCCCAAGTGTACATGTGAATCCTCTTGTGGCGAAAGAAAGTGTTCGTCACAAAAAGATTCTTTTCCATACATACAGTGAGGAGGCTTTCACCATTCTCATTTATACTTTCATCACCAAACGTTCCCAATATCCTTTCATAACCAAGCCTCCTCACCCCAACTCTTCCATTAAAATCTCCTAGCATAACAACATTTTCATTTCCCTTACATTTCATTAATACCATCCTTACCATTTCCCAAAACTGCTCTCGGATATGAGTGGGCTTAGACATGTCTGGGGCGTAGACCCCTAGTACAAACAACTTCTTTAAGCCCACTTTCAATCGTATCCATAGCAGTCTTGGGCTTACACATTCATACTCTTTCACACATTGCACCATTCTTTCTGATAGGATGATCCCTACTCCCTGGCATGCCCGCTCGAGCTCGTCTACACCAGACCAGTATGCGGTATACATGCCATGTGTAGTGACATCCTTCCCCTTCCGTTTCGTCTCATTTACACATAACAAATCTATTCCTCTATCATACATCACCTCGCATACTTCACTCATTTTATCATTCATTGCTCCACATACATTCAACGTAGCCAGACGGGCCTCTGCAATCCACTTTTCGCCCCTCCGGGAGACAGAACGTGACGGGTGGCGAGCCTCGTCGCCGGTTTTCCTCCCGGAGATTCTTCGCACCCCTGCCCCATTAAAGGGGCGCCGGGAACTCGGGGCCATTTCTTTACTTTGATTCCTCATGGTGCGAATGGGGTGGTATATTTAACGCCGCTACCACGGCGAGGAGCCGAGTCTGTGCTATCGGCTTGTCGCTCATTTAGCACCACCCGGGGGACACGTGTAGGGTGGGCCTAGGATTAGGTGGTCAAAGCCTACGGACGCGAGCGACTTTTTTTGAACATAATAGACACAAAACTTTAGATCCAAATCCTTCATCAGATGATTCTTCAGCAACAGCGCAAATAGCGTGGATTGCACATCCACATTCTCTACATGTATGAGCCTCTGTAGTTTCTTGTGAACAGACGCTGCATTGGAGGGTGCAAGCTGGAGGTTGCGTATTTGTTTCGCGTTGATCTGAATCGTTGTTAGAAACTTGACTTGCCTCCGTGTTCACCTGCAGACTGCAGACTGCACATGCAGTGACTTCGGGATCTTCTTCTTTTTTGGTAAGGTCCTGTATAATTTTCTCCAAATCATCTTCAGTTTCTACATTTTGCGTGAAATCATTGGGTAACTGTAAACCAACTTTTACTTTACACCCAAAAAGTGCCTCATAAGGAGATTGCTTAATACCAGCGTGAAAAGCTCTGTTTTTCATGAGTTGCACAAATCTCAAACCCTCACTCCAATGTGAATTATTATTGTCTTGCATCCACGTGGTCAACATATTTTCAATATCCTAATTTGCTCTTTCCACACTCCCCTGACTTTGCGAATGCCTGGGTTTACCATGAATAATTTTTCCAATATGTTTTTAAATTCTCAATAATTCGGTTGGAAAAATCTCTGCCGTTATCAGACTGAAGTATTGCAGGAGCACCAAGTAGAGTAAATATGTCCAATAAGGTGTGAGCCACTTCCTCAGCTCGTTTTGTTTTAAGTGGTTTTAAAACAACAAATTTTGTTAAATGATCTTGATACACCATTATAAATTTGTTATCAACGTCGGGCTGGGACTGAAAATCTATCAGATCCACTTGGCATCTAGAGTTAAACTCTGACGATATAATAGGCTTTACAACAATGCCTTTTTTGATGTTTTTTTGCTTTTGTTGACAGGTTTCACAAAGTTCAAGAAAAGTTTCTATATCCTTACGTGTTATGTTTTTGTAGTGACTCCCTACCTCTTTCATCATACGATCTCTTCCGCCGTGACCAATTTGAATATGTGCCTCGTGTAATATGTCGAATAACTCGCTATCACATGCGTAGTAAATAATAGTGCTTGTAGTGTCTTTAACAGGAAAAATAAGCTTACTTTTCTGGTCAATGGTAAGCACATCGTATCGCCGCAATAACCAATAATCACGAGAAGTCTTTCTGGCTGTTATTTTTGCCGTGGAAACTTCTTCAATTAACTCTTTATAACGTTCATCTTCAATATAAGCAGTGTTCTTAGCGTTTGTTAACGTTCTTAATGACGCTAAAGTAATATAAAATCGCTCTTTCATAAGCGCGATGCGTGATTCGGTAGCCATTTTGAACAATAGCGACGTGCGTACACACTGACAGTTAACGCGGCACTAGCGAAATGGCCTGATCAGACAAAACAATACCCTCCCCCTCGCCCCGCTATCCCCGCATACCCATTGATATCTCAAATATTTACATTTCCGACTACTATTTAGACAATGTATAGATTTCCTAGGAAATGTGTCTAATATAATTTATTTTACACATTTCCGTGCGATTTTAGGAATTACATGCATTTCCTAGGAATTGTATACAATAACAGATTACATACATTTCCGATAACATATATATATATATATATATATCATCATCATCTCGGATCGGTCAGATAAGACTTGCTCTTGGATCGTTACTCACACTTGCGTGTGGCTCCAACGCTGATGTGTACAGCTGCCCATAGAACCTCTCAATCTCACTCAGAATCTTAGGTGTCCCGGAAACGATGTTGCCACACTCAGTCTTCAGCCTTGACAGTTGGCTCTTTCTGGCAGACAGATCTCTGGCAAAGACTTTGAAGCCCTGGTTCCGCTCGATTGCTTCTTTAATACGAGCATTATTAAAGTTGCGTAAGTCTCGCCGCATGCATTTGGAGATCTGTCTGTTCAGTTGCCTGTATGCTGTAAAATCTGTTGGCGATTGCAGCCTCATCTCCCGTCTACCAGCCATGAGATTAAGAGTGCGATCGGAGAGTTTTTGTGTTCTTTTGCGGCGGGTCTTGCAGATTTTAGCTCCGACCGCATGGATAGTTTACACGCGCTTGTTATTCATATCGTCCACTGCATTGAAATCTTCTAGGCACTGAAAGCGGTTACGTAACTTGAGCTGAAAAGATTCGGGATTCTGGATTAGAGCACGAGGTGGACGGAGCGTTGACTTCATTAGACGAGACCTCTCCAACTTAACGTTTAGGTTCAGTATGCCTCTAACCATTCGGTGATCGCTGCCGGTTTTCACCCTTGCAATCACTGAGACATCACTGAACAGTTGGTGCCTGGTCGTCATAATGAAGTCAATCTCATTTTTTGTCGAACCGTCGGGGCTCGAATAGGTCCACTTCCTGTGGGGCCGCTTCTGGAAGAAAGAGTTCATCATAAAGAGTCCCTCTTTCTCCATAAAGTCAGCCAGCTGCTGGCCCCTACGGTTCTGTTGCCCTACTCCAAAATTCCCTAACTTCAGCTCACCGCCTTCTCCTGTGCCTAGTTTTGCGTTGAAGTCTCCCATCAACACCGTGTAGTGGGTTTTGGAGGAATGCATGGCTCTAGAAATATCCTCATACATTTCCTCCACCTCCTCATTGGGATGTGCCGAGGTTGGTGCGTAGACCTGTATGACCTTCAGCGAATACCGTTTGGTGATTCTGAGTATCAGGTACGCGACCCTCGTTGACACACTCCCAATCTTTATAACGTTGTTGGCGAGAGACTTGTGGATTATAAATCCTACACCTCCTTGGGACAGATGGTCGCCCTCCCGGTGATAGAACAAGTAGCCGGACTCGAGGATTACCGTGTCCTCCCCCTCTCTTCGGACCTCAGATAATCCAATAATATGCCAGCGCAACTTGTCTACCTCTACTTCCAGCTCCATTGTCTTCTCGTCAGTCCTCAGGGTGCGTGCGTTATACGTTGCCAGGTCGAGTCGTCGTAGGTGGCATCCGAACCTCCACCGGAGATTCTTAGCACCCCGTGCCCCGCCGTTACCATGGTCGCAACCGTAGCCAGGAATAGCGGGGCCGCCGGGGACTGGGGGCCGTTTATTTGCGTCGTTGCTCATAGGCGGATATTTGCCATAGTTGCCACGCTTGTCGAGCGGGTTGGCAACCGCAGTTTTTTATTGTCATAATTGTTATTAAGAAGATGCTGCTGCCCATCTCCTTTCTGTGTCCCTCTGTCGATATATGAATCTTAAAAAACCCTTATGTAAATCATAATGATGTATAAACGGCACCAATACGGCATTTTTTGATAGAGATCTTAAATAAAAATGTTTTTTTAAGTTCGAATCAGTTTTATTTCAGATTCACCCACATCTTTAAATTTTCAAGTAACACTCAAATCAAATAACAAAATAGTTACATTCAAAATAATTTCACTGTCCTATCTGTTTTTTACTAGATCTATATCTTACTTCTTATGTTATCTATTATAACACTCAGGCGTAACCTCACTAAACCGTTAGTTTAACCTTCTTGTCGTTAGATGGCGTCCACTTGATTGTGTAAATATGTGCGTGCATCATTCGAGGTCACTTGGCTCTTGTAATCCCCTTAACTTACTTTATATTCCCGACATTTCGAGCACTTTACAACACTTATGGTCACAGAACACTATTACTCCTACCGGAGAAGAACGACAACTCCATGCAAAATATAATAAATGTTATATATACCCACTAACACCATCTATAGTCAGTCTGCCTACACTTGCCTCGTGTGGCGAGAAAATTTGAACGTGGTTCTTTCTTATTGTTTTTATTTGACGTATTTTTGGGTTGTCTATCCCAGCGCTGAATAAAAAAACAAAAAATCACAAATTTTCTATTTATTTATTTAAAATACAAATTGAAATTAAAAAACATATATAACTTAAAAAAAATTTACAAAACCATGTATTAAATGCAGTAGGATGCCAGTCATCTTCAGAATGTGTTTAAGTAAAAATTATAGAAGTGATAAGAAATTTCTCTTCCACGACACGTTCCGAATTACTATGAGAAAAATATATAAAAGAATGTATCAACCAAAAAATATTAGAAAAACTAATATTTTTTGTCCAAAAGCTGGTCCAAAAATGGTGTTAACAGGACCGCAATATTAAGCCTATAAAAGCTACGGAAAAGTTGCTTTCCCATATATATATATATATATATATATATATATATATATATATATATATATATATATATATATATATATATATATTGCTTTAGCTCAATCTATCTTAGTATATTGTATTTCTGTATGGGGTGGGGGCTATAAGAACCAAATTTCTGCAAGTTGAAAGGGCACGGAGAAATTTATTAAATATTTTGCATTTTAAACCAAAAAGAGGATCTTTATGCCATAAGTAATGTACTTACTGTTGCGTGAATAAGTCAACGTCATACACTAGCGCCATCTAGTGTCAGGAACGAGAGCGAGGGGAGCTTTGCAGAAAATGACATCACAAATCTTTCAATCGACAGCGCCATCTAGTCTCAAACCGAAGAACTAAGTTTCTAGAAAATCTACACTCGAACACTCGTCGCTTTTCGCGCATTTACTTGATTATTCCGGATGCTTCATTGCTAATTTGTATATATAGGCGCTGCAAGATGCGATCGGGGCAGTATTGGATTTGGCGAGACAAGCGAAGCTTCGGAGCGGAATAAAATGAATTAGTGTGTTTAATTATTAGTGTTTTAAGTTTTAATTTCTGTAAAGTAAATTAAAGTGTTAATTTAGGTAATTTTATCGGCAATTTTTATTGTCACGAACCTCAAGCTCGTAACAATTGGTATCAGAAGTGGGATAAAATCATGCCGATTTTACCTAAGGAGGAAACGGAGGATATCCGTACCCGCAGTCAACGCCAGCATGAGACGGACCAGCGGAGATTTGGTGGTGCAACGGCGCAGACGTCGGAGGGCCAACTGCCAGCCACGGAGGCTGCGGGCCCGTCATTAGCTCCTGCATCTGCAGCACCTGACTTAGGTGCTCTGGCGATGCTACAGGAGCAACTGCAGCGCGGACGAGAGGAACAGGCCCGTCTGTTGGAAGAGCAGCAGGAGAAAAAGGCTCGCCGACAGGAGGCCCAGGCTCGCCGACAGGAGGAACAGGCCCGCCGACACGAGGAACAGGTCCGTCGTTTGGAAGAACAGCTGCGGGGCGGACAAGAGGAACAGGCCCGTCGGTTGGAAGAGCAAATGCTCCTCATGAAGAATCTTCACACTACCTTCGGGAAGGAGATAAAGGAGGTTAAGGATAGGGTTGCTCAGCATGAAAACCACCTGTTGGAAGCTGAAACCCAAATCGCGAAGGCTGAAACCCAAATCAAGGAAGCTAAAACCCAAATCGACCAAGTGAACAATCGGGTTCATTACGTGGTGGCTGACGTGAAGAGAATGCTGGACGACCACAAACTCGGAGATGGAGCTACAGCTCCCGTAGTAGCTACAACACCTTCGCTACGTGGGTTTAAG